ACAGTTTTACTTTCATTCTCAGCCTAACGGCGACTAGCCGTTGTGACTGTGAGTTTATGCTTCCCAAAATCCATCGAGACATGTTTGTAATTCAAATAGCAAAATATTAGCATTATGCGCTTGGTTACAATAAAACATGGTGCGATTTGGTATGTGTCGTAAGCGGAATAGTCCGTAACGATATCGATCTGGAGACGACGATGTTTGGACTGCCACTCCCGACCGCACCTACCTTAAGTTAATAAAAAAATCGACCACCTCAAGTCTCCTACGACACACTGACACTATATTGTTTTACTTATACGGCTGGGGATCTTTCTACACAATTCAACTATGTAGTCGTTTTCTAATATTTATAACACGAGCTTACCTGCACCTCCTATGGATTGGAAAGTTGCTTTTCCTTCATGGTGCTTGAGAAATTATTTAATTTATCGGCAAATTTACATGTCCCGTCTACTTTTAGCTACCTCTATGTAACTGAGGAATGGTCTCCAATTAGTAAAATGTTTGTATTCACTCTGGTTCACATGATGAATCAGTTGCATATCAGCCTAGCATATGATAATCTGAGCAAGGATAAACAGGGTTTTTCATTGACGTAATAATAAAAGCTGATAAGAGATATTGATTTCTCTATTCTTCAATTCCAGATTCAGTAGATGTAACTGGTTTTGCCACTAGAAAGGGAAAATTCATATAGAAAAAGTACTTCTTCTAATCTTAGTCAGAACAGAATGTCAAAGCCAGTACCTAGAAAGCGAAATAAAAAATATCAGTAGAGCTACTCACAGTTACGTAAAAGAAGTCTTTCACAAAATAACTTATCTGGTTTATGCTTTATAAGCATTGTTATTTGCTTAATAAAGCAATAACAAAACTGTAGCACATAGTACAAGACTTGTGTGCAGTAGGTACCTACCTAAATCCAATCATTTGGTCATCGAATAGCGTTAGCTCAATCCCAAAAGTTTGCTGTCGATAGGTATGCACTAATAACTGATCTATCAACACATTAGACACCTATTATACCCTGAAGACAAAGCGAATAGAGAAGAATATTTTTTCTAAATTTCGATAGTAACTTAGAACTCAGTTTGATCGATCCCTAGGCTCTTAGCAATCAAACTCAGCAGGTAAAGATACTTGAAATTGCTATAAACCATTTTGAAGTCCAACTTTTATTTCCTTATTAACCTAATTAGATTGATCTCATAATTATTGTATTCTTCCAATTAGTAGGTTACATCTTTTCATCGTGATTTACAAAAGCAACTATTACAAAGTATCTTAATTAGGAACTGTACAGGCAGCAACATTTCTGAAGCTGAGATTTGCGTTGTGACAGTTCCTGAATTTGTGATTGATTGACGGCTTTAGTCCTGCCCTTTAACAGCACCGCCACACAAAATGTCCTCATTGGATATTTATTCAGCGAGCAATGGGCCACTCCCACTGGCACTCGGGTAGAGAAGTTTAGGGCTGTCGCACCAACTATTGAAATTCCAATCGCTTTGAATTGTTGCAATTAAGTTTTTCCTTGGTCTACGAAATGGTTATAGGTAGTAAAGTCTACAATGCGTGATTACAGCCATTTAAATAATTAGTCTGCCCGTTCTAACTGTCTCGTCTTTCGAGGAAAAAGGCAGATTAGAATTTTGAAAATTTCCATGACTCTCAAGTAAATCGCGTCTGTGCAGCGATGTTTTAAGTATACGTGTTTTGGCTGAGGACCGCATCTAACTGTTTTAACGTTGACATACGTAAGTGCTATTCAAAATGAAGGCATTAGTCGTTTTAAGTCATTTTTACAAGCACTTTTAAAAATCAAACTTGCAAATTACTTGCTACCTACATAGGTGCCTATTATAGATAACTACTAAGTACTTAGCGTTCATTCATTGATTTTGGAGTAGGTATCAGCAATTGACGGATTTATTTTGTATCTAAATGATTAATACCAAATAATCATGAAATTTTTTTTACGAATTATAGTCAATTTATAGTAGAAAGCCCAAACGAAATGCTATGAAGTAATAAAAAAAAATTGGTTTATTTATTACAACTAGGCTCCTCTAAAATTTCTATTTTTTTTTTAATTTAAAATAATTACGATTAGTTTCCATAGAGCAATACGGGCTACCTTTTAGCCTCTTTATCTATACTTCTATACTAATATTTTAAATGTGAAAGTAACTCTGTCTGTCTGTCTTTTCTTCACGCCTAAACTACTAAACCGATTTCTGTGAAGTTTGGTATAGACATAGTTTGGAACCCGAGAAAAGGACAAAGGATAGTTTTTATACCAAAAATCTACAGAAAGTGCAAAAGCTAGTACTCGTATAAAGCCGGCCGGGTATATTCTGAATTTCAAATCCAAATTTCCGTTAATGAAAAGCAACTGAATGATTTTTTCGAAATCAAAACCGTAGAAATTGCCAGTATACCTTCTATTCCGAATAGCACCTCACTAATCGCACACACTTTATGACGCCACAATTTACGCGTGTAAGGCCATTACAAAATTTTCTGATTGGTTAAGGTTTGTTACATCTACTTGTAACTATGTAGTCTACTGAATCTTAATTAATTCCTTTAAATTGAGCTGTTTCTTCTTCAAGAGATAATTATAGTTTTAGAAATAGAACTTTAATTGTAATGCTATACATCAATTAAAGTAACAAAAAATATTTAGATCTAAAATAAGCTGTTTCTTCTTCAAGAGATTCTTATGTTTTTAGAAATAGAACCTAATATGTCATATATTAAACTAAAGTTCGAAAAAATATTAAATCCTTCTGAAATAAGCTGTTCTTTCTTCACAAGATTCTTATCTTTTTACCCACTTTACCCAAAAGGAGGGTTATTAGAAGTAGAACCTTATAAGTGATGTTTTTTTTAATTTTTAAGTAACATAAAGAATTCCTTCTGAAATAAGCACTTTCTTCTTCATGAGATTCTTATCTTTTAGAAATAGGACCTAGAATCTAGGAAAAAATAAATATGAATAAATAAATAAATAGGAATAGAATCTGATGTATTTAACTAAAGTAACAGATAATTAATTCCTTCTGAACTAAGCTGATTCTTCTTAAAGATCTTTTTGGAAATAACACCAAACAGAAAATGCACTTTATTTCTCAATGTTATTAAATTGTTACATATAGTATAAGATGTTGAGTGCATTTATCCTATTTAATCATAAAAAATCTGATCAAATTACTAAAATAATTATGTGAAGAGGCTACCATAGGCCACAACCGTTTATTAAAGCACCTATCATTATTCACAGATTTTCCTTAACAGATGAAAATGTATTGCCATTACTGGTACAAATATTAATAATTTTCCTTGATTTGTTATTTATAGGTAGCTGTAAATTGGAGGTTTATAAATAGAATCTTTATGTGGTCTAAAAATAAGTATGTAAGACTTGATTTATTGTTTATGGTCAGGTTTATCAAACTAATGCAACTGAATGGTAGCTGAAGTAGTTTGTTACAAACATATGAAGTAGGTCTTATATGTTTGCCTACTTGTGTGGATGAAAGGAATATGTGTTTGTAATTAGTAATGAATACATGGTTAGACATATAATATAGACATATAAGAAACTAGTTATCCATATACCATGATTATGTTAGTTTTCAACAAGTCAAATTCAATACTTTTATCTCAATGTCAAGAATGATATTCTTCTATGAAATTTGTATGAATCTCCAAATGATGATGTCGTAGAACTTTTGAGTCAAATAGCTTACTTATTTCTTAAAAAATCGTAAATTATGTGTATCTACAGATTAATGAATAAAAATATAGCTACTTTTTAATATTTTATTCTATAAAACATTGAATTAATTTATATTTGACAAACCTAAACTACCCATTTGACTAAAATTATTAAGTAATACACACAAACTACCACAAAACTTTAAAACAAAAAATAGTGAACTTTTAATTTTTATTATTTCACTTAATTTAAGGCTCACAAAAGCATTTAGTAGATTAAAAAAGAGTCATAATTGAATTCAAAACAATTAAAGCTTATTTACATGATACTTATTGTTTAGACCATGCAAATCCACTATTACTTTTATAAATTGCATCCTACAGAGAGACAAGCCAGCATCATGTAAGGCTGGGCAACCAGCAGCTACAGAACATATTGTGGGTTCGATTCCCGCACGAAGCAACAACAATTATTCATTGCATACTGTAAATTTGTCATCTGACCACTTCAATCATTAAATGACCAGATTATTTCAGAACAAAATATAATCCCCAACTTATTAAATATTTTGAATAATATAAGACAGATTTGGATAACTGGCTGCTGAGCATATGCCAAGGTTTTGATAAAGGGGTCAACAATTATACTTGCAAAAGCCATGAAAACCACTCAACATTTTATAAAAGGCTTACAAAATCATGTCTTTACTAAAATTTATTACTCTATATAATAGTTATAATAGTTTTAATAAGTATACTTAGTTGTTTAAACACATGCATGTCATTACTACATATTTATTATATGTTCTATCATAGCATTATCCAAGACTGTACTGTAAATTCCAAAACATAAGAAAAATGTTTTAAGAGCTACCTGGTAATCTCTTTAAACAGATTCCAAGTAGAATTTCATTCATCCTAAGTAACCCATACCATTTAGATAATAGAACACATGACATACAGATGATACACAATTCTGAACCCAATCCAAACCTTGAACACAGTATGCAATGTACCATCAAATCAACATTTTAAACATTTAGAGTCTATAAATGAATCACACTGCAATATAAATACTAAGTAACCAAGCATTACTGGATTACAAATTGTTTATTAAACTAATATTAAGCTTGTGTGTGTATGTACTTAGCATTTGCAATGCAATGCCTGGCTACAGTTTCCATCTACATGTACATTAACTATGTTTACCAAAACTTAATGTGACTTTGGCACAAAATAATAAGAATATACGTAAACATGCAATTACTCACCATGAATGTCAAATTATCCTGTTTGAGTAGTCCTAGTGAATCCTTCATAGAATCATACTTTATCACAGACTTAAGTCATTCAATTTATAAAACACTGTATTATATATATTTCATTTCACACGTACGCACTGAATATAAACTTCAAAAATGTTTACAAAGGAATCAAGCTTCAATAGCATAGTAGGTTGGATTCTAAAAATACATCAACATGATAAAACAGTATGAATGTGTTAACATAAAGCAACACAATGATGACAATATGTTATACGGATTGTGAATCCGGATTAACCGCTTCACGTGCGTGATAGGGTGCTAATAGAGATAGGCTGGAGCTAATGATAATACCAAAATAGATACATATGCACAATGGAAAAAAAATTGAAATGCAAATCAAAACTTGTAGCTGTTACGCTTAAATATACCGCATAAACAAATTTAAATGCATTGCTATGACAGGTAATCTAAGGCACGAACGAATTAAACAAAATAATAACACTGATAATATAATCGAGTATAATATCACTGGACTTTAGAAAGTCGTAGGTACTCATGAATTGACCTGTATATTCAGTTAATATGCTTAGGAATTACACTAACGATGTACAAAAGAATCCAAAACCTCTTATTCAACAAAATCACTGTATTACAACAAGAAACGCAAAAACTTGTAGCTGAGCAAAGTATACAAATAAAATATCTTCCCATCCACCATCACATAACCACCACTACTTGACAAGCACAGCACAGCACCATACACATACAATTATCGGTAAAAAGTAGAACAACACTATCGAAAATAAACCGGAAATATATTAGGCACGTTGACTAATTAGTCGATTATTAATTGTAACCGTTTAATAATAAACATTAATAAATAAACCTATCGGTTAAGTTAAAGGCAAAGTAATAAATTAAAGTGAAAATAAAACACTCAAAACTAGTTAATTTGGTTGATAAGATTATAATACGCATCACATCACATTTACATTGCTAGCAGTTTTAAATATATATATTATTATAATTTTTAAGTATAATGTGTACAAATAGCTTTTTTGTACATCATACTATTAAAATTCACTGAGAAAATTGGACACGTAGTCTATGACTAAAAGAAAATTTCGTCTATGATTATCAATAATCTCTTTTCTCTATGATTGTCCAGTCGCCTGTGAAAAATAGTGCTAAGGTGTCATCAGGGTGTTTTTATTGTTTTGTAAAACAATAGAATTAGTTAAAATCCTATCATCAAAATAAAATCAAGAAAATGGGTAAAGGGTTCAATAATTACATGTGCAAAAAATTCTTCCACCCTGCGTCAAGAGACAATTTAAAAAGGGTAAGTGAAGTGACGCATATTTGAATGAATAGGTAAACTTGCATCGTGATGTTTATTTACAAGTTTGTCAGCTGAGTTTTGATTCTTCGTAGTAATAATTAATTGCTTACTACTTTTCTGTTATATACAGGTATGGATGGCTGAACAGAAAACAGAAGCTTACAAAAAAAAGCAAGAGGAATTACGTGTTCAATATGAGAAGGAACAAGAATTACATGAAAATAAGTGAGTTTCCTGTGCTTTTGTGGTGTTTTGGTTGGAGTGTAGCCTTAGGGGCACTATGGAGCAAGGACTTAGAAAAATTTTACGACCACCATTTTTCGACCCACTGACCGGTGTTTTGTCATAGTTTTAACCTTGTAATAGGTAATATAACTTTTATTTTCTTCTAGGGCATTGCTAAGCAAAGATAGTAAAGATAAATTAAGCCTGAATTTTATGTATGAGCCACCCCCAGGCGTGAAGAAAGAGAGAGAACGTGAAGATAATGAACCTGAGTACAAATTTGAATGGCAACGAAAGTACAATGCACCCAGAGAGAGCTATTGTAAAGGCGATAATGAAATCCGTGACCAGCCTTTTGGTATACTGGTGCGCAATGTCAGATGTATTAAGTGTCACAAATGGGGCCACATAAATACAGGTAATTATTTGAATTATTCATAGTTTTGTCATTTTCAATGCCATTAACAGGAGCAATTCCTAATATTATAATTTAATGCTTATTAAATAATGCTAAAAGATCATGGAGAGTACTAGCATACTTCTTAAACATTTAAAAAAATATTGTGTAATGCTTTTCAGACAAAGAATGTTCAATGTACTCATTATCTATGAGTGAGGCTCGTGCCCTGCAAGCTTCTACCTCAGCTCCTGAAGAAGAAGAGGAGAAACCAGATGTTCCTACACTAATGCAGCAGATGAGAGACACTGGCCTGGTCATGAAACCTGGAGCTCTTCCTCTGTCTGCTACAAGGATTGAAGATAATGATTCTACTAGCATTACTGAACTGGATCTTATCAGTCAACTGACTAAAAAGCAGAAAAAAAAGTTATTGAAGTAAGTAGTCATAAAATAATTTGTTTTTCAAATATTGAGTATGATACCTTAATTGGCAAAGCAGCTAACTTCTTCAGGCAAATTTTTCAGGAGACACTTTAACTATAATATTTATGAAGTCTGCTTATAAAGAAATTTAAAATGCCATAGAATTAAAATATATTATCCTAAATTCTTATTTTTAGTACTGTCAAATCTGGTTTGCTATTATATTGTAATTAAGAGATTACTTTTGACATCACACTTTTTTCACATTTGACCTTTTAAATCATGAATCTAGAACACTTATTACATTGGCACTCAACTAACAACTATAACTAGTCAGTGTAGATTCTGAATTGTACCAAATTTTCAAATCCAGTACATTGCGTAAACTAAAGTTCGCTGTTGTATTTATATGGCGCGTCTTCGACCTTGAAGATTAAAACTTCCATTAATGATTACCTTCTTGCTATTTCCAGGAAATTAGAAAAAATGGAAAAAAAGAAGAAAGAGAAGAAGCACAAGAAGTCCAAGCATTAAGGTTGATTGCGCGTATTTGGCACTGAATTATGCTGAGCTATATTTACAAGATATGGTTTGTATCCAGACCATGGCCAGAATGTACACAACACTTCGGTCAAAGAAATGTCTAACTCAAGTGGCCTGGATGCCTAGATTGCTAAATGCGCGCATCATTTAAATCGGATGGTAGAATATTAATTATGTGTAATGTAAATGTGACTAGTGTTTATTTTTATTTGTAGGCTAGTGCACCTAATTGCATTATTATTTCAGTTAATTAGTTAGTCTCAAAAGTTTGCTTTTAAAGTTTTAAATGTTTTAACGCCATTCAGAATTTCCCAAGTCAATTAATCTTACATTTTATTATGAATAGATTGTTGCATGATATTTCATTCATATATATTTTAAAGCTGCAAAAATTTAACTTTTCAAGTTAAGTTATTAAGAATTATAACAATTGTTAAAAATGTGTAATGTATAATGGAGAAAAGACATTGTTTTTCTCAATTGCTCTTTAAACTTAATTATGTTTTAACCTTGCAAAATAAACACGAAAAGATAATTCAATATTTTTTATTTCACACAATCCATAGATTCAACAATGATATCACAGTAACTTGATCAAATAATGTCCTTAACATTTTTACAATAATTACATGAGTTGATCTTACCTAACGTAATAATGGAAAAACAAACTAACAAACTTTATAAATACTCTATCAAAGTTTAACATTTTTCTTAGTATATACACTTATATATGTATATATATTATTTATAGTAAATGTTGAGATTTTTGTTTTCTAAATATTTAATTTAACTGACACATTAACCAAAATATATTTTTTCCACTGTCAGAATGGTAGTAAAGTTTTCAGATATTACCTACATGTTCAAGAAAATAACAAGATAAACAATTACAAAAGTTGTTGACTATACTTTTTGTCAATCATCAAAACTTGAAAATTTTGCAATGGCCTGGAGGTAGGTGCCTGCTTCTCATGCATTAGGACGTGGCGTGGGCACAAACTTGGCAAGTACCAATGTGGCTTTTCCAAGTTATATGTATTTTCTAAGATTATTGACGAATTGAGGAAAAACAGATTGTGAGGAAAGCAAAATTTTTATAATAAGTTTAAAATCGTCAGTTCATAATGGCCACACATAGTCATTAATGCTCATTACCTTATCTGTGGGGCAGATTATAATGATTACCATAAGGTGCACAAGTACAATGTAACACCCATTTCTACCAACTACATATGTAATGATTCAATAAAAAAGGGTGCAAGGTTTTTGTTTTAAACTGGGCTTAGAATCCGAAACAAAGAATTTTTGATAGTCAATAGGTAAATAAATTCTAATTATTTTTTGCAACCAGTCCCAACCAAGCAGACCTATGGTAATAATATTGAGCTATGAAAAATTTGAGTTCTCCATCAGCAGCAGCCATCCTCTTTATCTTGTCTTAACATTATAAATCATAATTATAATTATTACTTAGACATTCAATTAGGTACCTAAGTATCAAATTTTTACATAAGTCTTTTCATCAATTTCTATTATATCCTGCCTATCGTTTCTTTCTTTCCAATGCAAGTATAAGACACACCCAGTAATTATCACTACGATAGCAGTCAATACGAAAACACTTTTAAGAATGACCTTGCTAGGTGTTACAAACAGTTGAGCCTTCCACTGTGAAGGGTCACTGGGTGGTGCCGGTATGACAACTATCTGAGAATTAGGTATAATTTGAGTCCAACTTTTTGAAAAACCTGAGAGCCCAACATTTAAAGTATCCACAAAATTGGGAGTCCGATCCAAGCCAAATATGGAGTATGGTAATTGTAGAGAAAAATATGCAGACTGTGATAGTTGCGCACAAACACCAGTCCTGTAAGTACCTTCTTGGGACCATGTGTTGTATCCTATTTTCGGGCCTGGGAGATTGGTTCCTGCAAATAACAAAAAAATATAAATAAAGTGGAAATTAAAATTTTCTAACAAAGTAAAAAAATAAATCAATTCTTACCAAATGTGACTTTCCTATTGTACAAAGTTCTGTTATTAACTGGTAGTTTTTCATTGGTCAATCCAGTAACAACAATAACTTTAATGAAATTTGTGTCATATTCCAATTCATTTCTAAATGAATGCATAGTATGTTTCAGTGTGGTAACATTTTTCTTTACGTATATTATATCAAGTACACCATCCATATAAAAATCGTAAAATGTGGCCATTATAACATCTTTGCCAAATGAATCAAACTTGTCCCACTGTACTTCAAATGTTCTATAAAACTTGCAACCAGGCAAGTTGCACGGAATATTGTGAAGTAGAAAAGCCCTGGTTTCATTTGAATTCACAGGACTCAGTGTCATCAAGATGTCTGGGTAGCCATCCATATTGTAATCTCCACTTCTCATAGTGATAGTGTCTAAATAAATCTCATCTCTTGGTGGTACAAAACGCCACAATGTTCCCTTGCCATCATTAAAGTCCACTTGAAGGTCATGCCATTCCTGATTATCATAAATCAATATAGTACTGTTGAGGCATTGAAAATCATAACAAACAGGAATAACTAAAAAGAATTGACCAGAGAGGGCAACATCTAGAAACAACGCTTGACCATAAATAGTTGGATGTCCAACAAGTAGTTCAATACTATTGCTAAATTTGAAACCCTCTAATTCATCATTCAGCCAGACTTCAACATTAGTAGTTGTTGTAACAAGCAAATCTGCAGCATCATCTTCATTGACATCCAAGAATGAGTGTGAATGAGGCAGTTTTATTGTCTTGAACAAATCATCTCCCATTTGCTTTTCAACAGGTGTTGTCCTTGTCTCATCAAACACCCAAAAAACTCTTTGGTTTTGTGTATTCATTCCAAAAAGATCCAGAATCATATCTCTATTATAATCCATTACTAATGGCTGTCCTACTGAGATAGCCTTAATAAATAAAGCATCAGAGCAGTTCAGATTAGATTCTCCACCCCATAATATCCTTACCGTGTGTAAATTAGAAGTATCATTTACAGTTTGTGTCGTCAACAATATGTCCATATAAGCATCTCCGTCAAAATCTCCTGGTACAACACTTGTTATTATAATGTTACTAAAATTGCAAGAATATGTTGAAGGCCTCAGAAATGGCTCCTTATCGTAAGCTAAATACACATCTACACTAGAAAAATTTTTGATAACAAAGGCATCAGTTAATTCGTCTGAGTTAAAATCTCCAAACGCAGCTATAACACCTTCTTTGTGTTTTCCGAAAGAGCTCTCAGTCATATCACTTACTGCATAACAACTAGTCAATACAACACTTATAATAATTTTATAAATCAAAATTTTGAAGAACATTTTGCGTTTTATATGGACATTTCACAAATAAGTCAACGATATTTATTTTTTGTTGAACGTCGAAAATTGTTACAATAATTGACGTGACGTCACAAAGTCACATTTGACATTCATTGTGCGATGCTATTACAAAATTCCGATTTATCGGTTTTTATGTATTTAGTCGATTATGTTGTAACCGTTTTGTTTGCAGCAATAATGATTCGATTAAAAAAGGTCTCGAATTATATGGAACTCGCATTGTGTATAGGGAACTTTATTCGTCTTTAAAAAAGACAATTGACAGTAAATTGTAAAAAAACTATAAAATATAATGGCGATGGTGGCGATTGCATATTGACTCAAAGAGAAAACATTGAATTAGAAAGACTAATAATACTGAAATTATTAGTTCCATACGCTTAGCTACCTTGATTTGAGTGTTACATATCTTAATCTACTATTAATTATAACATCAGCACGAAATGGCTGTCGAATCTGTACAAATATTGAGACGAAATCGACCCGGTTCTAAAGCAAAGGTACGTTATAGTATTTTATAGTGAAGAGGATTGAAGCCTTTTGCTTTGACGATTGCTGTTTTTATGTAAATGTTATTTTGTTTTAGGATTTTTGCCGCTGGCCAGACGAACCCTTTGAGGAAATGGATAGTACCCTTGCAGTCCAACAATTCATACAACAAACGATACGCCGTGATCCTTCGAATCTTGAAGCTATTCTGAAAATGCCCGAGGCTCAAGACGAGGGTGTATGGAAATATGAACATTTGAGGTATTTAAGTTTCATCATTATCATCCTTCTCATCAACAGGAAGACCACTGCTAAACAAAGACCTTACTCTTAGTCCTCCACGGCGGACAACAACTCGTCACTTGCATCCATTGTCTCCCCGCTACTCCAGCGGTACGTTTTTCGGTCTATGGTCAATACCAACCAACCCCATCTGTCCTTCAACCAATGTAGCCTGCCCATTTCCACTTCAGTCTACAGATTTTAGTAACTTCGAGTTGTGTTAGTAACTGGTGAATTTACACATTATGGATTTTGTTATGTATAAAAACCCTGAGCATAGCCTGCTCCATTGTGCGCTGAGCAACTATGGGTCTTTCTAGAAGACCAGAAAGAGGAGAGGTAAGTTTATTGAACAATAACTTAAATATCATTTTCAGACAATTTTGCATGGAGTTAAATGGATTGGCTGTAAAATTACAAGCTGAATGTAAACCAGAAACTTGTACACAAATGACTGCTACTGAGCAATGGATCTTCCTTTGTGCTGCACATAAAACTCCAAAAGAATGTCCTGCTATTGACTATACAAGACACACCTTAGATGGAGCTGCCTGCTTGCTTAACAGTAACAAGTATTTTCCTAGCAGGTATGTTTCTGAAAATCATGTCTAATTAATATTAACATAATATTTAGATGTGAATTATAATCTTGTAGTCTTAAAATGTCTTCACTTGAGATTGTTTGAGCAGTTTTCATTTGAAAGAGAAACACCTCAATGACAAGACATCTTTAAAAACTATTTTTTTATTAAGTGATTAGAGCATTAATTTATATTATTACCAAAGTAAAAGCAAAAACTCAAAATACAATATTTTAATTACAGGGTGAGCGTCAAGGAATCATCAGTAGCTAAACTGGGTTCAGTTTGCAGAAGAGTCTACAGAATATTTTCTCATGCATACTTTCACCATAGGGCTATCTTTGATGCCTTTGAGAAAGAAACTCATCTGTGCAAAAGATTTACTTATTTTGTTACAAAATATTTAATAATTGCAAAAGATATTCTGATTCTACCTAAGCTGGATGATGAAACACCTGTTGGTGAATCAGAAGCCTGAGGTTTAAAGAAATAATTTGGTTCTAATTTTGAATCAAATTATTAACATTACTGACTGTTGTGTTCACAACAATTTGTGACGATAACTGAAGTTACACTATTAATAGTCCTCACTGTAACTTTTTAAACCATATATTTCATGAATATTAATTTTAGGCAAATAGAGATCCAAGATACTAATTAAGTCTGGACTATACTTATTGTTACTTAACATAGTATAGAGTTGAGATGTATGTAATCATTGCATTTATAGCTTATTGTGTAAAGATGTCTAAAATTGAATCCCTATTTATATGCATAGTACCTACCTAGGATTTTAATTATGTATGTGAAATTAGATCATGTTATTAATGATTATGCTCTCAAAAATTAGCATGTGTAATATTCTTGTGTCAAGTAAATACCCAATATGATATTTATAAAAATAAACCTAAGTAAAATCGTGAGTTTATTATTGTAATCTCTCTTATTTCTTGTGCACAATAAAACAAGTTATTTAAAAGTAAATTGTTTATGTTTTCTTATGTTTAAATGGTTTCTTGGGTTTATGTGATTGGTTTTGCTTTGAGTTGCTGCTTTGTTCCTTTTGCCAAAACTTCTTTCCATTAAGACTTTGGTACCTGTGGAATGAGAAATAGACAGTTAAACCATACTAAGATCTAACAGCAACTACAGATAATTCATATATTTACATTATATATAATTGTTCAGCAGCTATTTATATAATTGTGTAACTATAAAAATGAATCACAAAATGTATTATTATGTGAATATTTCCACAGCACTTGGACTTTAGTTTAGGAAGAAAGTTTATTAGAAGATAAAAAGCAAAATTGGGTAACCTCAACCCTTTCGTCCAGGCAGTTGGAGATCTATGCAAAGTGCACTGCATTGTATGGGTTGCTAGTAATAATGTAGTATAATAAATAGCTGCAGATATGTTAATGTTTCTGTGTATCATTCTATGATGATCCAAGGATCTTTTTGATGGGGAAATCATGCTATGAACGTTCTCAGCCTGGCAGTGGAGTCTTACTAACTAAAAGCCACCACACTTCTGAGTACCCGCTACCCCCTACTGGATTATCAATGATGTGAACATAGAATTGATATGCTTCATCTGATGTCATCATAGTAAACTGATCATAAACACTTACCCTATTTGGTTTGTATCAGGAATAGCATTTACTGAGAGCAGTATATGTATAATAGGTATTTGTCTTTTTACTACTAATGTCTCAAGACCATCTATTTTGGGTTCCCAATATTCTTCCACACTGAAAATAAATTCATTTTTTATATTTATACAAAGAATGTTACAACTATTTGTAACCTATTTTCTTTAGAAACATGTTTTTGTACAGATGACCCAGTAAACCAAAACTAATAAATCAGGGAGCAAGGAGTATTTTGAAAAATAATTGATAACTTTTCTGCAATTCTCAAGCTGTAAACCATGGGTCAGTGGGTAGTCTAAGGGGCAGATTTAAACATTGAGAGCAAACATTTCTGGCAAAGCTTGAGAAGTTCAGAGTTCTTACGTTTTGTATGACAATTTTGTTAGTTGATGTTCAATAGAAAACTGTCGTTTTAATATTTCGGCACACGATATGGCCTTTGAGATGGCTACTCCAGCCCCAGTCCACACAACAGCAGTGGCCGCTTTGTCTTCCAGAATACCCGCAGCATGAGATAGTAAATTGGCCATCTTACTGCCACCTTTCACCTAAAAGCAGGAAACAAAACTATGTTCAGGTAGGTTGCGAATGGTTTGCGGATGGATTGATTTTCATAAACACATAACACATCGGTGTTTAAAATATTATTATGTAGTTATGTTTAAATAATACAAATTTATGAAACTTACTTGCATCCACAGAAAATTGTCAGGCAAGTCTTTAATGGGTATTTTGCTACGTTCCAGTTCTTCTTCAACATTTTTACCTTTACTGTAGTTTTCCATTTTACTAACTTATTTTTTTGAAAATACAAACAATAAATACCTCATTAAGTTCAATAATAGTAACACTACAACAGCTTTTCTAACCTATATATTTTAGTCTGACATTACATTATATTTACTCTTGACAACCTTGACTTTTCATGATTGATATGTTTTTAATAATTTTGTTTTTGACCATAAATACAAGTCTTTTAAGCCAAAACACATTGCTGTTGCGTGGCGAGTGCGGTCGTGCCAGCAACCTGTTTCATACAATCGAATGTTTTTTATGGGAAATTTCGACAAACGAGCTTACAGATTACCGAGTAAGCAATCGGCACCGGTCATGGACACCCGCAACACCAAAGGAGTTACGAGCGCATTGCCGGCCTTCTAGGGTTTAAGAGTTCGGAATATAAGGAGTGGGAAGGGATGGGAAGAGAGGGAGGAAATGGGCCTCCGGTAACATCATCACACGGCGAAACACAACGACGCTGTGGTCGTCTCACGCCGTTTTCTGTGAGACCATGGTAATACTATGCTCAAGCCGACCCATTCGTGTCGAAGCATGTTCTTAATATAGGTAATAATAAATATATTACTGATATCTTTCGGATTAAGTCAAATAACTATGAGATGATGATATGTTGAAGTAATAATTGGTGATGAAGATTCATGTCCTGTCTTGCCATTCAGTGATGCCAGTGATGCTATTAATAACGTTGCATTCATGTATCTTCACACATTTTTTCCCAAAGTAGGTACATCTATTTTGTATTAAAGAGGGGGTTTTCAAAACTGTTTGCATTATAACACGGAGTTCGGTATAATGCCCGACTCCTCGTGTAGTTGTTGCAAAACAATTGGCTCACCTGCTTTTAGGATATTTTATTATTTGGGACGAAACCCTACCTTACTCTTAAGAAGTATGTATTAGGTACATGATTTTACTTAATTTTCTTGTTCTAATTAATTTTCTTAATTTATATTAATAAATTAGGTATTGTTTTTCTACCAACAAAACCGCTTGAATAATTAACCAAGTTCAAACTATTTAAAAAGTAAATATTAAAATATTTAAATATTAAAATATAAGTACCTATATCCAATTCAATAACTTCCAGGTCCAAGTTTCGACTGGGATAACAGACAATAACCCTCAAAATGAACTGGAATGGACCAGTACACTCGGAAGTTAACTTCCGTTGGAGTTTTACAAGTAGATAAGCGAGGGTTTGAGGATTATAATACCTAATGGTCTTATTTAAACGTTTCTTGGCAAGAAATCAATATTTAAGCCTTTCCTGACGGCGCGAAGGAAAGTAAATAGTAGAATGCAGGTACGTAATTAGGTAGATGTGTACACTCACGCATTCAATACTTTATTGAGTTGATAAGTTAAGTACTTAGTAAAGTCTATTTTTTTAAGAGTAATTAGATAGAAAGTCGTTAACTTAAAGTAAAAACACAAATTAAAGTTAATGAAAATAAAAGCAAATAAAGGATTCGTCATTGAGTTCGACATAACATTTTGCACATTGTGCAATTATGAGCCACCTAGAAATATACTCACATCGGTCAACCTCAAGTTTACATATACCTAGTTTGATTATGTGGTAAAATTAATAGGTATGGGATTACAATAGATATTGTAGTCTGTAAGACCATCAGTTTTATAGGCACTTAACAACGCAGTCATTTAATTTTGCGATTGCATTTGTGGTTAACGCTTGAAAACTATTACATAAGGAAGATTGCCATTGCAACAAGATGTTTCGAATAGTTTTTTGAGAAAATTCTTAGAGGCGTGGGTACCGTTCATATCGCACAAAATACAGCAAACTCTCCTTTTTCTTCTGTGGCGAACTCATAATATGTAGGACCTAATGATCTTATTCGTCTGTAACCCGGTAAAACTACCCGGAATACCTATTCACTGATAAGTAGTTTAAGCAGAAATAGTGCTACGAGTCCTGAATTTCTTAATTTAAGAATAGTAATCGCGTCGGTACCTGTCATAATATTTTTGACGACATGAAAGCCATCGCCGAAAGCTCTTACGCTACAGTCAGTACTGCCAAGTTACAGTTGGGCCTAATTAAATATATAGGTATTGACTTATCTTCAGCCGGGGTTACGGGTTAAGCGCAATAAGGAACCGCGGCCTCGGCTTGTAGCAATAAAAAGAACAGAGGGGTTTTTAATAAGTAAGAGAATACGAGAAGACACTACTCCCGTGTCCTATGTGTGGCGGATTCAGCGGGAGGATACGATTGTTGGACACTATGGAGCATATGGTGGTGGTATGCCCTGCTTGGTGTGTCATATTCCTAGGGACGAGATCTTCGGCAACAGCGACCTCTCTCGCTTAATCCTGTACATAGCGAAAGGAACTGGGAAATTTTGCTAAGTAGTCATCCTAGTTAAGGAGAAAGCGGACCACGTGAGGCAACGATCTTCCTCACGTTCTAGACCCTGCAGGAGACAGTATAGGCGTTGAGAATCGAAAAAGGGGGGTTGCAGATATAGACATATAGCTATCACACCACCACTAATGGGCCCACATTCAAGGTTGCTGGTATAAGAGCAATGATAATCAGTGGCCCCCGTTCAGAGCAGTAGCAGGGACGGGTTTGTTTTTAATCAGTAGGAAACTGACACTAAGGGTGGGAGAAGTCATCTGCTTGTCATATTGAAGTTACTTACTAAAGTTGCCCTACATGAACCTATACATACCTATCATCATCATCATCATCAGCCTATACCTATAAGTGCCCACTGCTGAGCAAAGGCCTCTTCTCACACAGAGAAGGTTTGAGCATTAATCACCACGCTTGCTCAATGTGGGTTGGCGATTTCAAACTTATAATTAGAAATTATAAGACCAGGTTTACTCAAGATGTTTACCTTCACCGTATGTCAGTGGTGTCTAAATAATCATAGAAAGTACGTATAACTCGGAAAAGGTCACATTGGTACTTTCGCCAGGTTTCGAACCCACACCCTCATGCTTAAAAAGCGGGCGCCGTAACCTCGGGGCCACCACGATTTAGAATTATAAATGTACATACCTATGTACATTTTTATCTTCTAGTTTCCAAGCAATTCGATGTGTAGGTACCTGTATTTACATCGAGATATTCTAATTGGATACTTCAAAGAGGATATCCAATTATTTCGTTAATTAAAGCAAAAATGTGAAGATTGAAATAAATTCTTTCACAAAATGAAAAGGACTCAAAACCTTGATTCCTTTAGAGATTTATTTCAAATCTTCCTTTTGTTTCGGGTCTCGGCTGTTTCTTTTGACAAAATTTTAAAATCATATAAAATAATTTCATTTGAAAAAATCTTTTGTTGGTTGAAGCGCGTCGGTATTCGTGGTTACGAACTAGGTTGCTCGGGTTCGATTTCCTTGCTGAAAAAAATATTATTGATTTTGTCGGATTCTCTTTATTACGGAAATTGCATTTGGTGCTTGAAATCATTAGTGAAAAGAAGTGGGAGCTACCTTAATTTCTAACGTCTTCAGGTACTTAAATTTCACCTTCAAACATCTAAGAACAGTTAGGTACATCAAAGATAGATATGATTATGTTGATACTGAAATGGGAACATTTATTTGCCTCTACACAAGTAAAGGTTATCTCGTCCGAAGTAAATGCGTATTACAAGTCATGGCTAAGTATGTAGTTATCTTTGCCGACATATGAATAGCGAGTACCACTCAGTAGAATAAGTCCAGTTCCGATCATTACTGGGTAACTAGTATTAGTAACAAATAACAATGCATATCTCATCCATTTACCTATTTTGTTTTTCTGTTGTTGTTGTAAGCGCTCGTAATGCGTTTCTTATGGATGATCGGTTCGTGTGTACCGTTAAGAAGTCGTGTCTAGAGTGCCTGAAGTTACCTCAATGTTCGTGGTGTCCGACAGAAAACAAATGCTTTTCGAAAACCTTGACGGAGTCTTTGGATTATTGTGCCAATGATACTATACCTCACGTAGATTATGGATGTAAGTTTGATTAAGTTTTCATTATACTTAAATACGTATTACTGTGAGCACACAAGCATACATCGATCATCCTCTTACAATCATCTTCCCTCGATCCTACCCAGGGGAAATGAGGACGAAGGCGTCCCAAATCCTACAAATATTATAAACTAAAAAGTTTTTAAGTAGTGTGTAAGTAAGTGGAGATAGATGTTTGTTAATGAATGACAAAAATAATAAAGGAGTCTGAACATATATGGCATAGAGAAAGATTATTTTCTGAAATAATAAAGTGTATTTTCACATTTTTTATCGCAAGGAATGCTAAAAAACTCTATCATAATAATGCTATAATAGAATAATCAAAAACGATTTTGAATGAAAAACAATTCAAGCGAGTCGACAAAAATTATAGTTAGGAGGCATTGTTAAGGCATTCGCACTTCACCATCGATAGTTGGCTTCTTTTTACCCTGTTATTTCGGGTGAAGCCGCTGGCAGAGACTGGTTAAGAATATTTACGTTGAAAAGATATTTTCACGTAAACAATCGTTTAGAATATTATTTGTATACGTGTGTATGAAAGCTGTATTAATGGTTATGTGTACAGAAAATAATTTGGCTAAACTACGATTGGATTTTTTTTCTTCGTATTTTCATACTTTAGAGTAGGTATCCTTATTTTCTCGGTGTACCTCAGCTCGGTTCAGAGCAGGGGAAGCAGATAACAGGGTGGTTTTTGGTTACTAAGAATCTGCTACTCCCTTTCGCCCCACCCAGGCCGTGAAAGGGTCATAACTATTACCTATACCTACTTAATTATCGATAGATACCCGGATCTAAGAGAGATTGACCGATGCCATCTAGTGACCTGTATGAACAACTTATACCTAAGTACAGTCAGCTCCAAAAGTCGATGAACAGAATCAACTTTCCAAAACACCTGTTCACAATAAAATGCCATAAGTTATAGTCACAACTAGGAAACAAAATAGCCTGTACATCAGAAATTTACAAAAGTCGGTAAACACGACTAATTCAAAAGTATCTGTGCACTATAGTATTCCTAAAGTCGCTGTACACCATCAATCCAAATGTCGCTGAACATCATTGTATCAAAAGTCAGTAAACAGCAGAAAAGTCAAAATTAGGTTAACAAAGTATATTTTTAATGTTGCACTGTGTTAATATAATTTTGACGCTTATGTTGTACAGCTACTTTTGGGACAGTGCTCGCTAGACCTTAATAATGTATTTTAATAACACGTTAGTATCCATTTCAATACTTATTTACACATCAATTATATTTATAACCGACTTCAAAAAAGGAGTAAGTGCTCAATTCGATGCGTATTTTTTTATGTATGTACACCGATTACTCGAAGACGACTGGACCGATTTGCAAAATTCTTTTTTTATTTGATTGGGTTTACCTGCCATTTGGTCCCATTGTCATGAGGTCAGAATCTGGTAGAGAAATCGAGGGGAACTTTCAATAATTGCAGGGGCGAGTAGTTCTTTTGTATGATGTTTAAGTAGGTCTTTTACAACAGTATAACTTTATGAAGGTCGAAGTCGACCTGATGTTGGAGCTGGAGGACAGTCGAGGGATCTCCTTGACTATTTGGAGTAGTTGCCTTGTGTTTGAGCTTGAATGATTCGTATTGGCACTTTGCACCAGGCTTGGTCGTAACTGTCATTAAGGGTCTGATGATGAGAACGAAAGACAGGGAACTCCTGAACGGATTATAGTAACTACTTCGTGTTTGAACTTAATTCATATTGTCAGTAATCATGCTAATATATAATATGAAATAACATAAACATCACTCTAACAATCTACGAAGTAGACAACTTTGTACACAGAAAAAATATTTTTTATGTTTGTGTTTACTTTTTGAAGTCGTTTGTTTTTTTTCAATTTAGGTAAATAGAAAATAATAATAATAACTATTTTTATAATCTCGCAGTAGGTGCCAAGTAAATGCTACATACCAAACAACAACAGTATTAGAAACGTGTATTGATCGCTACCTAAGTGTGGGAGAGCCATGCTTAAGTGTGGGAGAGCCATGCTTAAGTGTGGGAGAGCCATGCTTAAGTGTGGGAGAGCCATGCTTAAGTGTGGGAGAGCCATGCTTCGGCACGAATGGGTCGGCTCGACCGGAGTGATACCATAGCCTCACAGAAAACCGGCGTGAAACAACCACAGCGTTGTGTTTCGCCGTGTGAGTTAGGTTACCGGAGGCCCAATCCTCCCCCTTCAATCCCTCCTCAATCCCTTAATCTCCAAATCCCTAATCCCTAAAAGGTCGGCAACGCACTTGTAACTCCTCCGTTGCGGGTGTCCATGGGCGACGCTGATTGCTTACCATCAGGTAATCCGTCTGCTCGTTTGCCGACCTATTACATTAAAAAAAAAAACCTAGTAATCATCATTGTTTTACTTGGTACCTGGCACTTAATTGACACCGACTTCGAGATTATAAAAATAGTTATTAATATTATTTTCTATTTACCTAAATGAAAACATGTATTACTTTGTACACAGAAAATTATTTTTTTTGTTAAAATTTATTTTATTTCACCATTTCAAGTGATATGCAGAGCAAGCAAGGATAATGTGTTTCGAATGAGAAGACGACGGCTACTTGAGACCGAAAATCACGGTAATAGTAGTAGTCCTTAGTGTTCAGTTCTGTAAATTGTTGAGGAATGCCCTCGACTGTAAACCCTCAACATAGTTACATAATATATATAGGTGCATAGTGCTCACCAATACGAATCATTCCAGCCCAAACACAAAATAATTACTCCAAATAGTCAAAGAGATCCCTCTACGGTCTTCCGGCTCCATCATCAGATTTACTGCATAACTTCATTGTAACTCATGTAGGTGCGAAGTTTTTATTGATATAAATGAATTAATTCCAAACACGAGGTAGTACTGGAAACCGTTCAGGCGTCCCCTGAGCTTTCCTTCGTTGTCATCATCAGACCCCTAGTGACAGTCACTACCAGTCTTGGTGCGAAGTGCTCACCAAGAAGAATTATTCAAGCCCAAACACAAGGCAATTACTCCAAATAGTCAAGGAAATCCCTCGACTGTCTTTCGGTTTCATCATCATCAGGTCGAGTTCAACCATCGACAAGTTGACGTAAATACCTGAATAACTTCAGAAAATATACGAATCATGCCGACTGTCGCTATAAAATTTTAAATTTCCACTCGATTTTTCTGGGTTTCCATCATCAGATCTTGACCTGGTGAACATGGGACAAACTGGAAATTATACCTTACTGAACAAAAAAAAAAAAATCCAAATCGGTCCAGGAGCCTTAAGTAATCGGTTAACATAAAAAAAAATCCCGACGAATTGAGAACCTCCACCTCTTTTTAAAGTCATTTAAAAATATTATTAATTTTTAAATAAGTATTAAAAAAGTATTAAAAGATACTAACGTGTTAATATACATTATTAAGTTATACTGTCCCAAAAGTAGCTGTACAACATAAGCGTCAAAATTATATTAACACAGTGCAACATTAAAAATATACTTTGTTAACCTAATTTTGACTTTTCTGCCTTTTACTGATTTTTGATACAATGATGTTCAGCGACATTTGGATTGATGGTGTACAGCGACTTTAGGAATACTATAGTGCACAGATACTTTTGAATTAGTCGTGTTTACCGACTTTTGTAAATTTCTGATGTACAGGCTATTTTGTTTCCTAGTTGTGACTATAACTTATGGCATTTTATTGTGAACAGGTGTTTTGGAAAGTTGATTCTGTTCATCGACTTTTGGAGCTGACTGTACCTAACTTAGTTGAGTAGTTTCCAAGGCAAGAAAATTAAGTATTTTCTCTTTAAACAATAATAATTGAAACATAAGTAGTCACACTTTCTTTCATGATTAACGATTCTATACCTATAGAAGTTTGACATTTTTCACGAGTTAGTACCTATGCGTCAAATACATAAAAATATTACTTTTTTTATTTATGAACTAGCTACTCTCGCGCGGTTTCTCGCGTTGCTCGGCTCCATTTGATCGTAACGTGATGTTTTCTAGCCTATAGCACTCAGGAACATTGTAGCTAATCTGTCAGTGAAAGAATTTTGGCAATTCGATCAGCGGTTCCAAAGACTACCTCCTACTAACACACTAACAAACTTACAAATTTTACTTCTTATAAACCATACCATAATATAGTATAGATAAGCACTTATAGTTTTTGACATTTCAATTGGACTAGTTGGAAGCTACCGTATCGTACGTATCGTATCGTAACTTAATTGTATATGAATAGTGTCACGTTGGGAGAGTTTCCAAGTGTGGTTTTAAAATTTTGAATAATTATCATTACTTGGGCAGTGAGTTTCGAAGAAAACGCTGAGTGTTCGTGCAGCAAGGGTGACGTGGGTCGGAGCTGCTATCCGCCGGGTACCACCGAAGGGCCAGAGTGCAGTGGCCGAGGTACTTGTGTTTGTGGCCAGTGTGTGTGCAATCCACAACCTGATCCTCAATACCCAACTAAGGTAAACCTATTTTTTGCAATTTTACTTAATAGACTAAGTGAATCCTGGTACAACTATTATTAAATACTGAACGCCATGTCCGACAATAGGGCCCGACGCTAGCTAAGGATTAGTCTTCTTCGATAGTTTTTGTAGAGAACCTTAAAATTGTTTGGTCAATCAAAAACCACGTATTGATCACTTCGATACACAGAAGGCTGTCTTAGATTGAGTTCTAAGATCTAATAAATAGATAATTAAATAACCAAGGTATTAAAAATTCGTGAATGTTTATTCATCTGCCAACTACCTATTTCTTGTCAAAGGGATCATCATCTCTAACTAATAATTTTTTATTTTGTATTCGAAAGTATATTTACCTATATCTTCTTTCAGACGGTGATGGGAGAATACTGCGAGTACGACAATTTCTCGTGTGACGGCCCTAAATGCAACGAAGGGCCATATTCTCTCACCAACCCTGATGTGGTGGACGACCAAACTAAAACAGCCGCCGTTGATATACCAGCCTCGTAACATAGGGCTGAACTATTCTCCTATGATTTACTTAAATGAAACAGACTATAGGTGGTTTTAATAAACGTATTAGAATTACTTAATAGACGGAAAACGAATACGGAAATTATAAACTTCTCTGTACATTTTTGTAGTTAATAATATTTCTAATTCTTGTACTTTAGATAATACAAACCGTAATTGTGTTTATGGCATATAATAGTTAGATATTTATATAAACTTGTTATAATCGCGTTTATATGACTGTCTTATCGTTACCATTGCGAAGTAATGGTTAAAGGTTATAAATAAATTTATAATTAACCGTCTAATAAAATAAATGGTAATCACATTAACTGAAATTTTACATAAAGCAGGTCCCCTTGTAAAATAAATGAAGCTATCTGAAGTATGAACGTTATAGGTCGAGAGATTTCAGTGTAAAGTGAAAAGTTCGCAGAATTTCTTTATAGTCGAGCTATGCTTAGCTATGTTATGAAGAATGCTCGGGTGGCTGTGAGCCGCGGCGGAGGCAATAAGGTTTTCAGGAGAAGCGTTGGAGCGGAGAAGCCGCGGCTCAATTAAGAAATTGATATGAGCCGGGCGTCTGTCGCGGATGGCTCATCGTTCTCAAGTGCTGCCCGTTATGCTTACGCGAAATTAGATTTCAACGAGTCTATTTTCTCTCCCACAACGAGTTCACCTTTTATTTCCTCGATATTTATTGAACGGCTGCCTTAGATGCTGGATCTCACCCAGATCGTAATATGCATGGTCACGATTTAATTGAAATTTGTTGATGTTAATTAACGGGTGGACTTAATTAAAGATTACCTACAAACAATAGGTTTAACAAGTCTGTAAATATGGAACAATTTTTGGAAACTTATCATTAGTAATACAGTAATAGTGAGTTACTCTAAGAAGTAGGTAAGTATTGGCAACATTGTATTCTTACTGACAGACTATTATTCCGATCGGTTTGATCTCTATCTCCATCTGGTACATTTAGGTCATTCGCCACACTGCGGTAGAATAATGGTTTTTTCTTCACAACTTGTGGAGACGCTACAGTCGTCAGATGACACGATAAACTGAAACATTTATCTTAAATGGGACATATTGTGGTTTTAATTTCAAGAATATGAAATACAACGTACGAACAAACATTTAACAGCTCCGAAAATAATAATCTGTTTCCTATTTCAGACTTTTAAATGTTTTCTATACGAAATATCGGTTTTAAAACTGCATGAGTGAGCAGATTTGCAATGTATGTATGACTCACTTCATTCTCAGAATAAATGTTGACATTGCTGCGATTCCGGTGCAGGAAAACTTGACTGATAAATAATTTCTTGAAAATTTAGGTAAGCGTAGGTTGTACTTGATGCTGTCTTAAGTTGGTAAAACCTATCGATACTTACTGATCTGGATCAGCACATGGTACACGTACCATCAAACTATTATGTCGATGGTGATCATGGATTTCCAAAAAAACTCACGCTATGGTAATTTTTGGCTAAATGCTAAGGAAAAATATATTAAACAAATTAGGGAAAGCTCAATTTGTTACAAAAACGTTGCAAGTAAACGGCGAAATATAGCAATGCCGTAAATACCTCCTTAATAGAATAAAACTGTCACCACAGTAAACGAATTTGTATTCAATAATTGTAGCGGAATGCGGCCCCTGGAGGAGCTCGTGGGAGATTCGATTATGGGAGGAGCGCTTAAATTGTTTTAGTCTCGTTCAGAGACATATACAAGACACTAGGTAGCAGGAGCAACTGAACATTATTTTTGATAAGCGAGCATACGAGTTACCTGATGGTAAGCAATCAGCGCCGCTCATGGGCACCTGCAACAACAGAGGAGTTACGAGTGCTTAGCCGACCTTTTAGGGATTAGGGGTTGGGGGAGAGTAAGCATTGGGCCTTCTGTAACCTCACTCACACGACAAAACACAACGCTGTGGTTGTTTCACGGCGGTTTTCTGTGAGGCCGTGATGTCACTCCGGTCGAGCCGACCCATTCGTTCCTATTATAAGCAAATTAAAGAAAGACACATATTTTCACACCGAAATTTAAAAAAAGTCACTCTCATTACCATTATTAGCCGTAACTATTCAGTTGGTTAATTGTTTTTAAATCATTATACATATTAATAAAAAGCAAAGAGTTTTGCAGGTTTAGCCGAAATAATAATGCAGTGAATTTACTTTTTATAAATAGGCTATAGGACAGTGTAACAGCACTTTTACACTCGATGTTGTATAAAAAATAAACATAGATGAGACTATAATTTTCTTTTTCCTCCTATTCAAAGAAGAAACTCAGAAACTCAAATACTTCTTCATCCAGACAAAGATAAAATTATGTCGGATAACCTTGAAAGACCATTCTGTAGTGATATTTTAACAACCATATCAGGTTGAGTGAACCTGTTCTGATGTAGTCGTACGTAGTCCATTTAGTTTTCAGGACAAGAGTTAAATTTCGCAAAACCTATTTTGGCTTCTTTATTTAAAAATACGTTTTTCTCCTCATTTGTTTCGAATTTAGGTGAGATGTAGTAGGTAGTGTATATTTGCCTGTTAGCTAGCACTATACAAAACCAACGTGTAATCTTCAAAACAGCCACACGTCTTGCTATCATCACATAATGTATTACTTAGAATCTTAGCAAACATTATAAAATTAAACTTTCACAAAGGGCTACGGCCGCTACGGCGTAGTGCGTAGCTCACAGACGTGGTAAGCTTACTTTCTGGAAATAAAACAGAATTAATTATTTATTTCATCAAACTTAAGTTATTTTATCAGTACTTTAGAAATATGTTAAATATAAAACCAGTTCTAAATCCTTTCAGTTATTCAGCGAACGTAACAGATTTCATGAACATAATGCAATACACATATTTTTAGCATAAGATGAATTTTCCAAGTTCCATAAAAGCATCCATGCTCACTGGAGCAAATACAATTTGCAAGTTAGATATTTAACAGACTGAATAGGTTAAATATCTGAAAACGAATTTTACTATTGAATAATTCGCGCTGAAACGTGATCGGACTTTTGAGCACGGAATAAGATGTCAATGGAGTCGGGCGGTGGATATATATTGCACAATAGGAGCCGAGATCACACATAATAATATGGCATTGGTATTCTGGAGTGGGGAAGAATGTGCGTTCCGCCGGCGAGGCGGCGACTCCTTGGCGTGCCTCGTGCCTCGCCCGGCGTCGCCAGCCGCCGCGACCCCGCGCCACCATGCCACCGCCACCCTTCACTTCCTAATTGTTTCCCACGCGAATCCACTTATAAACCAGTTCGTCTTATAACAATTTTATATAAGTATATTTCCATCGATATGTGTTACAGGTGTAAGTATTATACTGTATTTAGGAGCACCAGTTGAGTTAATCATTCAACACATTAGGTGCAATAATGAAATACGGTTTGATTTTCAGGTCGGTCGGGTTTATGATTAGGTATCCTAGAGAAACTTGTACTTGAGAAAATACACGCCAGAAATAAAGAGAGCAATCTATGAAGACCAAGTGTGTGTGTGGATATGGCGGATGGATGATGTGGATATTTCTATAAACTTTATGAGACACGAGTCACGAGTAGGCACTATTACTTATTAGATATCATAATATGCAAAACACTTGTTCTCATCGACTCAGTCGGCGAGACTTTAAACTAAAAGCAAACTTCGCGGCTTTTATGAAAATCTAAGAAATAATTTGAACTTGCTTTCCTGAGTCATCTTCACTCGTTGCCCGCTCATAATCATATTAAAGTGTCACCTCAGGAGCCAGGAGTAGAAACAAGTGTCAATCTCAGAGGCACAATCCTGAGGAATATTTAGGACGCAGGGATGAACTTTGAATATTCATGTAGCCGCACTCGTAGACTCTTCAGCAACAACGAGTTCTCTTTCACCTGTTTGGCATGATTTAAATTATTTAGAGGGAACCGTGTGCGGCTCGGCCACACAGTTGTTCCCCTATAATTTGGAAACCGTTTGTACGAAGCAGCCAACACGTACCTAAGGCACGCTGGGAAATATCCTTTATACCGCTGAACATACTGTTAATAAGTTATGAATAATTTTTGTCTTCCATTTCACGCCTAGGTAGGTTAGCCACTACCTTTCCTGGATACTTATGATAAGTAAAGATTGGAAGGTAGGTGTAAGGTTAAGGTTATTGAAACACAGAGTACTTCCATATTGATGTTCGTATTTAGTTAGTGTTTAAAAGAGGATTTGGAATTTTTCCTTAAAAATAGCAAGTAACTTACGTGGATTATTATAACTTAATTAATCTAATCGGGATAGATGGCAGCCGGAGGTTCACTGGCGGGGTTGATATTCAGCATCATACTTATTTATATCTCTAATCCACCTCAGATATCTAATACTTTTTTTGGTATTAACTAATAACTAGATCACGACTGTACAGCGCGTCACGATCCGCGCGTGTCTCAATGGGCCTCCAGAGTGCACTGCCTTCTAGTGGGTCCCATATGTGGAGGACATATGGGGCCCTCTGGAGCCAAGGATTCAACCAGGGTAGCGAGTCAAAGGTCCAATTCGGGTAGCAAGTAGGATAATAATAAACCGTGGTCCTTGCCCGAAAAGAAATAGGGTGGTTTTTCGTCATTAAGAATCTGTCATTCCCTTTGCTCTAACCATCATCAACATTATCAGCCGAAAGACTTCCACTGATGAACAAAAGCCTCCCCGTTACTCCTTCACGTCGCACGACAATTCGCCACCTTCATCCATTGCCCTAACCAGGACATGAGAAAATAATTGTCAAGTTTCCCTCGTAAAACTCTTCCTCATTTTTATTTAATACCTTTAAGGTATGAATTTAAGATAAAATTTAACATGTGGCATTTAAAGTTGAGTCACAAAGCGAACGTCTCTCGAACGAGATTTTAGTGTTTGGTGCTTGAAACATTTCACAGAGGTAAGGCAAGCGAAGTGCAGTAAACTCGAAACTCATACTTACTACTTCTCTATTTACATTGTCGCTAAGGTATAAAGTTGCTTGCCATAAAATTGTGATTGATTGTATAGGTACTTATACTGTTTTACTTAGATACCTTTTTATATGTAATGTACCTATATACATAAAAATAAAGATGAAGTTATAAATATTCGACCATGTATCCGTTACAATG